TTCATTACCCATTTAAGCCGTCTCCAGCCATTATTAGTCCCAAAGTGGGTTCCTCGTCATCGAAAATAAATATTACAGTTGGAACCTCATTGTATTTAGAACTTGGTTATAAGTACACATTCCTATGTCCATTGGAACACTGCATAAAAAAAGAAGTAAATGTAGGGATGGCTAATATCAATTCTTCAAACATAATGCAAACAACATAATAGAGATGGCACTTGCATCATCCCTACTTAATAGTACACCGAGTTTAATTTATACTATTTCTGTTTGTTAACATTCTACTACACTGTGTGTGTCTGCTATTATGTGGAGATGGTGCAAATACTATCATGTTTTCGAAGGACTAATATTATTCATCCCTACATTTACATCCTTTTTTGAAAAGTTTTTTTTTCTAGTATACTTGTGTAGGATAGTCGTTGTAATATATAACCTTTACATAAGGTGGAAAATTAGCGTGTGATTACGACCTTCGTACTTCCGGTTTACCATGAAGACGCTAACAACGTTAGAACACCTGCCCGAAACTTTAGAAGAATTACGCGAATACACAGGAAACCTGTGCTAGTTATAGAATGGTAAAATATGACTGATATCATCACATTCATGTATTCAACGTCTTGGAACACTACATTGTTACTAGTACAAGTCAACAGCATAAAGAGAAATAACAGTGAGATTAGACAAGGTTAAAATCAACTAATGTATCGAAGTTATACCTTTATATATATATATATAATTTAATGTTTCTCAGTATAAGAAGCCTACTCGTGAACAGCATGTTAAAAAGAATATGAAGCACAACCTAACATACTGTTTACTACTTCTCGGGCCATTCGGTTAGGGCGTTCGATTCGCAATCTGCGGGTTCGAATCCCCGTCCCACCAAACATGCTCGACCTTTCACCCGTTGCGGCGTTATAATGTGACGGTCAATCCCACTATCCGTTGGTAAAAGAGTTGGCGGTAATGACTAGCTGCCTCCCCTCTAGTCTTTCACTACTAAGTTAGAGACGGCTAGCGCAGATAGCCCCCGTGTAGCTTTGCGCGATATTCATAATAAACAAACAATACTACTACTCACTGAGTTATGTGGATTTCACTCCCCATCAATGACCTTAGACAAGGGTAAATCAAGAGAACACGACTAAGCTTCATATGGTAATGGAGTGTATATGTATGACTAGAGTATAGCCCGTCAAAAATGACAGGGCAAGTACCCCCACCCTATAGTATACCATAACATCACACTTCATAGCTAACTGAAATAAATAAATTTTACGAAATCAAACTTGACCAATAAAGAGGCAGAAAAGTGCAGTCGAAGTAAACGTCGCTAAATTCCTTTGTGAGCCAATCAAAATTAAGATCATTCATGAAATGAATTCGTGACGTAGCACACACTGGCTTTTATATAGGTTAAATGTTTACTCACTCGTATAATAAAAAGGGGTGAAATTATGTAGGTGCTGAGTACCGGAACATATTTTCGAGGCAATACTAACTAGTACTGGGACTTATTTGAACTGCCTTGTCGTTTTGTATGTGTACACGAAGATTTTTTGTCTTTTTTCAAAAACGGGTCCACTTCACCCAGCTGAGTACCTCTACTTTTTTTGAGAATTTCTCCCTGTTCGTATTCTTGTGTGGAGTTGTATAAATTGGTACCCACAGAAGTTTTACCAGTTGTGTAAGCATAATGAGTTGATGAATCTTATTTGAAAAGAAACCACTAATATTTTTCTTACTGAGCGTGGTACTACAAAGCCTTCCGTAATTTATACCCATCCAATGGCCTGGCATGACCAGGTGGTTAGGGAGTTCGAATCCCCGTCCCACCAAACGTGCTCGCCCTTTCATTCGTGGGGGCGTTATAACGTGATGGTCAATCGTTGGTAAAAGAGTAGCCCAAGAGTTGGTGATGGGTGGTGCTGACTAGCTGCCTTTTTTTTTAGTCTTTCACTGCTAAATTAGGGACGGCTAGCGCATATAGCCCTCGTGTAGCTTTGCGCGAAATTCAAACCAAATTCTTCCCGATATTGTTGTTCTTCGTTCTTCCAAATGTATGCAAGTCGAAAATTCTTAGTTAAGACAATATACTTTATATTCAGAACTTAGCAATTGTGTGTGCACACAATATTGTTTGACTTTTGAGTTACATACTTAACTCAAGTTTGTTACGGATTTCGCGCAAAGCTACACGAGGGCTATCTGTGCTAGCCGTCCCTAATTTAGCAATGTAAGACTAGAGGGAAGATAACTAGTCATCACCACCCACCGCCAATTCTTGGGCTCTCTTTTACCAACGAATAGTGGGATTGACCGTCACATAATAACGCCCCCACGGATGAAAGGGCGAGCATGTTTGGTGGGACGGGGAGTCGAACCCGCAGATTGTGAGTCGAGCGCCCTACCACCTGGCCATGCCAGGCCCTTTTGTTGTTCTCGTTGCAGATGTCGTACTCATGCGTTGAGGGCGACAAAAACATTCGTTACTTGTATATGTTTATTTCTACCTAGAGCTTAATGATGTTTGGTATTTCATCTATTTTGAATGAGATAAGTCTTCTGAACGAAGAATCTTCTGATTAAAATGTGGATCAGAGCAAACATTTTGTAAACTTTTATAACACATATAAAATCTAGTTTAATTTGGTTGCTACACTACAACTTGAAAAATGTATTTCTAGATTTGAAATAAAGATTAATACCATAAAAAATACGAATTATATTATGTGGTTGTAGGAATAATAAAACGATTGTCCTCGGAATTTTAGGTCTAAAGTTTACTTAGTATCCACTAGATGTCAGGACAATCCAATGTGCTTACAGATGGTCTCGGAGACGTGAAAAGCAGGCAATAGTAGGTCTTCGCTAATTGGCGCCGCACATCACAGTGGAGACTATTTTAAGGAAATATTAGCAGGCTTTGAATTCAAAATATTTAAGGTAACTTGCGAAACTGAAGTTTAGTATTAGAAAGTATTATTAAATTATAAAATGTCTAAATAATTGTTTGACAAAAGTGTGTGGTCGCTTATAACTGGAGAACCGCTGGGCCGATTGTCACCAAACCTGGCATGTACCCTTTGTCCCATGGGGAATGATATGGGGGTTGACAGTTGGATCTAATCCACCAATGTCACCAGCGGGAGCTCCTATCTTGTGCGTTTAATGGATACGTCACCTAATAAAGCATGCTTTGGATAAGTATTCTTAAAAAAATGTAAATTCATTATTATCAAATATTACTAAATTATAAATATCTCGAATATAAAACATTATTTGTATAATATCTGAAGGTATTCAAATTTGATGACGAGAGGTCCGCTTTGAGACGAATAAAGCTAGAAGTTTAGTTTAGGTGTTTTAAGTTAAACACAAAACTGCTTAATGGGCTATCGGTGTTCTGCCCATCACGGGTATCGAAACCCGGTTTCTAGAGGTGTAACTCCGCAAACATACCGCTGTGCCACTGGAGGAGGGGGATAAAGTTAGAAGACACTTGGATTGGTAACAAAAAACTTTATAATAAGTTTAACATAGTAACAACAGCATAACGTTTCGACAAGGTTTTTGGCATTATCTGAAAATATTGTTTAGTATTTTTTGTGCAAAGCGACATAATGGTCTACCGCGGGGAACTGCCCCCTCCCGACACATAAACCATGTTATTTATATATGTGCAAGTTCTTTTAGGACAATGTGCTGCGCTGCTTAACTTTGAAGTTCTTTGTGAGTTAATTTTTGTCCCCTTTTAGTTTTATCTAAGTCTTATCTCTTGGATACGTGATCAACCAGTTGTATTTTTACTTTTCGCCGAAGAAGGTACTTAAACTTTTCATTCTCCAGTTGTCTAGTTTTACTAGTTTGAAGATAAAATCTTAGCTTCTCGGTACTAAATGATAGGAAAATGCCAATTAGTTTTCGCTGTAATATGACGATGGTAATAATTATGCCATAGTTTTCTGTTTCGCGTTTTAACGTAGATGTTAGATTTGAGTATTTGAAAAAAGTTGTTCTTTTTTAACTTCCCTACATGCAACAGCCTAGAATGAATTAGTTGAACGTCGTTTCAACATAATCTTTTTTTAACTCGTCTTTAGTATTCTACGTACTGCCGAAACTGAGCCTGATTGAATAATTCTGCCAGGTAAAAATATTTGGCAAAGAAGAAATCGATTGTTCGAGATGTCGAAGAAGTTAAATCCACTTGGGATTTGACCGTCTCAGTGAGACTTGGTTTTCAACTTTGTTTATTGGTTATTCCCCAAAGCCACCTCCTCACCACCACCCAACTGGAACCAACCTGATTATGACGTACTGGAAATATTTGAGCCACGCTTTACTCAGTCATCTACTTACCTGCAACTGTTGGAAAGTGAAGGTTGTTGTTGTTTGTTAGTTTTTTATACCTTGATATGCTTAAGAAGTTCACCATGGTCACATACCCCACGTGTCGTATATGTCAGGCCTGAAGCTTCACTTCCTTCTCATCCATCTACAACAAGAAAACAAACGTTCTTCCTGCCTTCTTCACAGTCTTTCCTCTCGCTTGACCACGGCAAGTCATCTAAGCATCACCAAAACTTCGCGGAAGCAATAGATTTATCACCGTTAAAATTATCGACAAACCAAGAAAGGGGCGAAGAGAAATAACTTTAATAACTGACCACCCCTGGGTTATTAAACCTAAATATCTGTCAAGATTGGATCGGATTCACTCCATTGATTCACTTTGTACGTTGATTTACATACAGGGTGGGCCAAAAGTAGGGTTACAGTTATTCTATTATTTGTTTCTCCTTCA